TCTGAAAGAATTAGAGGTAGTTATAGTGTGTTACCTGTGTAGGGGTTGTAAGTGCCGTCGGGGCACTCAGTGGGCTCAGCAGAACCTGAAGAGGCGGCATGCAGCTGCTGCCGGCATTCACTGTCTCGCTGGGTCTCTGTGCCCAGCTAGTCATTCTTGCCTGGCGAGCCCCGTGCTTGTAAACACGGTGAATGCATGCATGCATGCATGCATGCATGCATGCAGGGCTCACGCATTCCTTACACCCAAGGCTGGGGGGGGGGAAGTTGTATTAGCTAGCTGTTGAGGGTTTAGGGTTTAGGATTTTAGGTTTTTAGGGCTAAGATGTTAGGTATGTTATCCAGATTAGGGTTTAGCTTTTAGGGTTTAGGGTTATACAATCTAGGGTTTAGGGTTTATATATATATATATATATATATATATATATATATATATATATATATATATATATATGAATTACCTATTGGGCAGTAGCTATGCTTAGGACAGATATCTCCGTGTGTTTTATCTTTTGGTGTAGGTGTAGTGGATCCCCCTTTACAATAAAAACCAGCGAAACACTGGCCGTCAGCTGCTGCTGTTGTCAGCGCCGTGTGGGCGCAGTAAACCCCCGCGGGGCACGCGGCGCATGCAGCTGCCCCCTGCTTGTCTTTGTAGGTCCCCGCAGCACAGGCCTCAGGCACAATCTGCAACAGGAGACAGCAGAAAAGGAGACACTTCTTGGTGTCTCTGTATTATATCACATATTATATTATATATTTATCTATTGATATAATATATAAATATATATAATATAAATATAAATATATTTATATTTACATATCATATATTATATCACAGTTTTTTCTAACATAAATACTACCCAATATGCTGCTAATACATTAAACTAAATTATAAAATAAATAATTTTTCTTACAGCTCCTGCTGCACATGTGTAGCCTGCGGGGCACTGGATAACAGAGCTGGGGAGATAAGCCAAAGAAGAGTCTTTTATCTGAGACCCCGAAATACACCAGGTACCCTCATCGCACTGGCCTGTGGGCTGGTCCAGACCAGTGGTTGCGCAGTATTTTCCTGTAAAAAAAAAAGAGAAAAGAGAGAAATATACACAAACAAAAGTATTATATATGTTCAGGTGATCATATATATTACACTCAACTATATAGACCTTGCTGGCCCCTCTGGGGCCAGACATACATACAGACACCCGAACGAAGGAAAGAGTGATGATGCAGCTTATGCTGCTACAGCAAAAGGTGGTGGTGGTGCTGCTGCTGCTGCAGCAGGCGGTGGTTGTGGTGATATTGTAATTGCTGCTGCTGCAGCAGGTGGTGCAGCAACTGCAGCAGCAGCAGCAAGTGCTGCTGCTGCTGCTGGTGTTGGTGTTGGCGCTGCTAACTGAGAGAGCTGCGCCGTTTCTCGTTAAAAACCTCAACAGGGCCGGCGTGTCTCCGGCTCAACTAAAATTTTTTCAGGTGTCTCCTCTCACCTGCGGGGCATGCAAGACACCCGCCCTGGTCGCCCTGTCCCTCTTTGTTGTTGTAGGTCCCCACGGGGCACTGCCGGGGGCTGATGGCGCCTGCTGGGCAGTAGCTCCCCTCGGGGCATTGATCGGAGCTGGGGGCCGTGAGGCCTAGAGAAAGAGAAAAAGGAAAATACAGCTGTCTCTTTTTATTTGTAGATACAGTTGCTGTCTCTCCATACTAGAATTAGGAGACAGCTGTGTTTTTCTTTTTTTATTCCTTTCGGAGACAGTGGCTGTGTCTTTATTAGATTAACTGCTGAAATGAAGTGATACAACAGAAGTATAAAAACAACAAAGTGTAGAGGGTTCTTTGGGGCTTTAGCGCTGCATGCAGCATGCATGCAGCCTACAACTATGTTTCTATATAATATTTAGATTATATGGCGCATGCATATAAACCCTCACCATCATCGTCAGTGCAGAGACGGCCTTCAGGGCAAGGAACGCATGCATCTGTGAGGCCCTTTGTGGGGCCGTATGTGCCTATGGGGCAAACGCGGCTGTTGGTGGTCCCCGCGGGGCAGAAGTGACCCTTGGGGCACATGTCTCCTGTGGTGGTGTCTGCGGGCCTCGCGGTGACAGCCCCCCCGTAACATATAAACCCCGCGTCGCAGGGGGCCTGCTCCCCAGAGCTCCCGCAGTACACCCCCGCCCCACACTTCTTACACTCTGCGGCTGAGCTCGCCCCCCGCCGCGTGTGCCCCGTACCGCTGGGGCAGTGCTCAGGGGACCAGGACCCCACGGGACAGAAACTGTTCACTGGGCACCTAAACCACAAACCCTTAATATTAATACCTAAACCCTAAACCCTAACACGCAGAAAGTGAAAACACTCTATACACTGGATATCTTAATATATTCATACCTTTTGCTTCTCGCCTCAGGTTTAGGGTTTAGGGTTTAGGGTTTAGAGTTTACGGTATTTATATGCATCATCGTGTATGTTAGTGTTTAGGGTTTAGGGTTTAGGGTTTAGGGTTTGACTGACAGTCGAGCGTATATACAGGGTAGAACCCCATCGCAGGGGTCTTCATCCGTATCACTCTCTGCGTTTACACTAAGACCTTGTACACCATATGCAGCAGCAGCAGCAGGAGCAGCAGCAGCAGCAGCAGCAGCTGCTGCTGCTGCATGCATGCCTTTGCCGGTGGAGTTGCTCAAGGTACCCGCACCCAGGCTGCAGTAGTAGCCCGCGGGACAGGGCTGCATATCGTCTTTGCCTGTCCCCTCGTGGGAGCAGTATTTGCCGGGGGGACAGGGGAAACAGTCTGCGGCGGAGACACCCCCGGTGACCCCCCTGTATGTCCCCGCGGGACAGGGCACGGGGTCTTGGGTCCCCGCGGGGCAGTAACGCCCCGCAGGACAAATCTGTGGGGTCGATGACACTGAAGAACAGTAATATGCTGCCGGGCACTCCACACACACACCCCCACCTTCGTCCACCTGATACGTCCTGAAATAACACACACATATATATATATATATATATATATATATATATATATATATATATATATATATATATATAT